AATAATCTCTCCCTCCACTTCAACCCCCCCCCCGCAAAGTAGTAAACTTTGATTTGATTTATATAATCTGAGATTTTGGATTAGTTTTATTTCGATTTCTAAATATGAGGTCAAACATTACCAAAGATTGAAATGATGACCTTGAAACACCTGGCATTCAGGATTAAGTGCTTCCCCTGTGGGAGACTTCAGTAGTGTGACCGTTAATTTGGCTAAATATAGAACTCAAGTCCAAATTTCTTTCTTTTTGGCACTTGGAAGATATTGCTCTATTATTTTTGTGCATCTAGTATTACAGTTAAATTCTGTTACAAGTAGACTTCCAGCTCTTGCAATATGACGTTAATTCTGGTTTCAGGCAAAGCAGAATTAACATGGGCTACAGGATCCCATCGGCCAAACCTGACGGTGAAGATGTCACAGAAGTGAGACATAGAAGTGAAATTGTTGGAGAGCAGAAAATAACAAGAGTTGTGGGAAACCCCCAGGGAGACAGAAGGAGCCTGGGACCTGGTAACAGAAAGACAGACTAAGAGGGGATGAGGGCCAGGCATCTCCAGCAGGGCGTGGGGCTAGGGAGAACTTTCCAGTTATGCCGTCCTCTCTGCAGGGACTGCAGGCAGGAAAACAGCCCCTCAAGGCCAACAGAAATTTGCGAGAGTGGTGCTGGACCCTGGCCAGGTTCCAGAGTGGAAACAACAGGTTCTTTCCTCTGCCCTGAGGACCAGAGTACTATGACCTAAGGGGAAGTCCTTGCCTTGACAGAGGAACATGGAGACTCCTTAATGGGTAAGGACCCACGGTTGAGGGTAGGTAGGAAACAGAGAATGGATGAGTCCAGATTTTAACACTGGAGTCTCTCTACGCTAAGGTATGAGTCTCCCACCATCCCCACCGCCCCCTTATCTTTGCCCTGTACACACTCCTTAACTCAACAAAAGGGGCACGTCCTGGGGAATAGGCTTTCGTCCTCCTCCCAGGTCATGACCAAGTAGAATTTACCCCAGGAAAGTAAAGTTGGTTTAATACTCCAAAATCAATCAATGAAATTTGCCATAACTAAGAAAAATGGTATGATCTCTCATTACATGCAGAAAGATCATCTGACAAAATCCAACCTCAATTACTGATTGATTATTTTTTTAAAAAATGTGGAGGAAAGGGAACCCTCCAACACTGTTGGGGGGGGGATGTAAACTGGTGCAGCCACTACGGAAAACAGTATGGAGGGTCCTTAAAAAACGAAAAATAGGGGCTCCCCTGGTGGCGCAGTGGTTGAGAGTCCGCCTGCCAATGCAGGGGACACGGGTTCGTGCCCGGGTCCGGGAAGATCCCACATGCCACAGAGCGGCTGGGCCCGTGAGCCATGGCCGCAGAGCCTGCGCGTCCGGAGCCTCTGCTCCTCAACAGGAGAGGCCACAACAGTGAGAGGCCGCGTACCACAAAAAAAAAAAAAATGAAAAATAGGGAATTCCCTGGCAGTCCAGTGGTTAAGACTCGACGCTTTCACTGTCAGAGCCCAGTTCAATCCTGGGTCAGGGAACTAAGATCCCACAGCCTCGAAGTGCAGCCAAAAGCAACAACAACAGCAACTAAAAATAGAGTTACCATATGATCCAGCAATCCCACTCCTGGGCATACAGCCAGAGAAAACCATAATTCAAAAAGATACATGCAGGGTTTCCCTGGTGGTGCAGTGGTTAAGAATCCGCCTGTCAATGCAGGGGACATGGGTTCGAGCCCTGGTCCGGGAAGATCCCACATGCCGCGGAGCAACTAAGCCTGTGCACCACAACTACTGAGCCTGCGCTCTAGAGCCCATGAGCCACAACTACTGAGCCCATGTGCCACAACTACTGAGACTGCGCTCTGGACCCCATGCTCCGCAACAAAAGAAGCCACCGCAATGAGAAGCCTGCGCACCGCAAAAAAGAGTAGCCCCCCGCTCTTAGAAAGCCCGTGCACAGCAACGAAGACCCAATGCAACCAAAAATAAATTAATTAATTTAAAAAAATACATGTACCCCAATGTTCATTGCAGCACTATTTACAATAGACAAGACATGGAAGCAACCTAAATGTCCATCGACAGATGAATGGATAAAGAGGATGTGGTATATATACACCATGGAATATTAGTCATAAAAAAGAACGAAATAATGCCATTTGCAGCAACATGGATACACCTAGGGGTTATCATACTAAGCCTGAAGTAAGTCAGACAGAGAAAGATACACATCATATGATATCACGTATATGCCGAATCTAAAATCTGATACAAATGAATTTATTTGCAAAACAGAAACAGACCCACAGACATAGAAAACAAACTTATGGTTACCAAAGGGGAAAGGGAAGAGAGGGATAAACTAGGAGTTTGGGATTAACCTATACACACTACTATATATAAAATAGATAACCAACAAGGTCTTACTGTATAGCACAGGGAACTATATTCAATATCTTGTAATAAACCATAATGGAAAAGAATCCAAAAAAGAATATGTATATGTGTGTATATATATGTGTGTATATATATATGTAACTGAATCACTTTGCTGTACACCAGAAACTATTACAACATTGTAAATCAACTATACTTCGATTAAAAATAAATTAATGCTGATTCTTTTTTAAAATTTATTTATTTTTATTGAAGTATAGTTGATTTACAATGTTGTATTAGTTTCAGGTGTACAGCAAAGTGATTCAGTTATACATACATATATACCTATTTTTTTCAGATTCTTTTCCCTTATAGGCTATTACAAAATATTGAGTAGAGTTCCCTGTGCTATAGAGTAGGTCGTAGTTTGTTATCTATTTTACGTATAGTAGTGTGTATAAGTTAATCCCAAACTCCTAATTTATCTCTCCCTCCCCTTTCCCCTTTGGTAACCATAAGTATGTTTTCTTTCTTTCTTTTTTAAATAAATTTATTTATTTATTTTTGGCTGCGTTGGGTCTTTGTTGCTGCTTGTGGGCTTTCTCTAGCTTCGAGGAGCGGGGGCTACTCTTCATTGCGGTGCGCAGTCTTCTCATTGCAGTGGTTTCTTTTGTTGCGGAGCGCAGGCTCTAGGCATGCGGGCTTCAGTAGTTGTAGCTCGTGGGCTCTAGAGCGCAGGCTCAGTAGTTGTGGCACGTGGGCTTCGTTGCTCCACGGCATGTGGGATCTTCCCAGACCAGGGCTCGAACCCGTGTCCCCTGCATTGGCAGGCGGATTCTTAACCACTGAGCCACCAGGGAAGTCCCCGTAAGTTTGTTTTCTACGTCTGTGAGTCTATTTCTGTTTTGCAAATAAAGCCATTTGTATCAGATTTTAGATTCGGCATGTAAGTGATACCATATGATATTTGTCTTTGTCTGACTTACTTCAGGCTTAGTATAATAATCTCTAGGTCTATCCATGTTGCTGCAAATGGCATTATTTCATTCTTTTTTATGACTAATATTCCATTGTGTATGTATACCACATCTTCATTCATCTGTCGACGGACATTTAGGTTGCTTCCATGTCTTGGCTACTGTAAATAGTGCTGCTATGAACATTGGGGTGCATGTATCTTTTTGAATTATGGTTTTCTCTGGATGTATGCCCAGGAGTGGGATTGCTGGGTCATATGGTAGTTCTGTTTTCGTTTTTTAAGGAACCTCCATACTGTTCTCCATAGTAGCTGCACCAATTTACATTCCCACCAACAGTGTAGGAAGGTTCCCTTTTCTCCACACCCTCTGCAGCATTTATTATTTGCAAACTTTTTGATACTTCTGTGTAGTTTTGATTTAATGCTGATTCTCTTTAAAACAACAAAAAAAAATCTCTCTGCAAACGAGGGATAGAAGAGAACTTCCTTAAACACAGCAAAGGGCATCTACAAAAAAAGCCCTATCACTGACATCATAAGAGTGAAAGACCGAACGATTTCTCCCTAAGACCAGGAACAAAGCAAGTGTGTCCTTTTCTATTATTTCTATTAAGCATTGTACTGGAAGTTCTATCGGTGCAGTGAGGCAAGAAAAAGAAATTAAAGGCATCAAAATTTGAAAGGAAGAAGTAAAACTGTCTTTGTTCTATACAATATGATCACATACGTAGAGAATTCTAAGGAATCCATTAAAAAGCTACTAGAACTAATAAGTGAGTTTAGTAAGGTTGCAGCATACAAGGCCAAAATACAAAAAAGTTGTGTTTCTGGGACTTCCCTGATGGCGCAGTGGTTTAGAATCCGCCTGCCAGCGCAGGGGACATGGGTTCGAGCCCTGGCCCGGGAAGATCCCACATGCTCTGATCCAAGCTGCCACTCCCACTGTCCTCATCTAAGGGCAGCCATCCTCACCTTTGCCCCTTGGTCCATGGAGAAAAGGAGAATGTGCAACCATCGGCCTGGCGGTTCCCCACATAGAACCCCAACTAATCACACTGTCTCGGCCCCTGTGGTCCTTCTGCTGTTTCTGCCGCCTCTAGGCATGGAGCTCTGTGCAGAATTCTCCCACAGGTGCCCTGCTTTGAGGTCTCTGAGTGTGATCTCCCACCTGTTTTCGGTCCTTTCTGAAATCCTGCTGTTTCTAGTCTATTGGGTGTCCCCCTTCTTCAAATGGAACTACGTATGTTGTTTATTTGCATGTTTGGCTGGGTTTTTTTTACCTCTATTATTCCTATGAATTTGGTCTGGGAGAATCAAGATTGCAGTATGTAATCAGTTCAGTCCACCACCTTGAAACAGGTGCCTTCTCTCTTCCTATCTCCCCACCCTCTTCCCAGGTCACTTTCTTCCTCCAGGACCCTGACCCAACTCTGAACACCTGGCCCTGCAACCAGGAACTCAGGAAGCTGCCAAACCTTCCTAGGAAGAGAATTCCAGAGCCGCTTGGTCTTCTTGCTGTGCATTAGTTTTACCCCAGTCACCGTCAGATGTTAACTTCTGGGCTCTAAAGTGGAGTCCGAAGGCCACCATGACCCGCCCCTCAGGAGTCCTTCATCCCAGGTAGAGCCCAGCATGGGATTTGTGAAAATAGACTTTATTATAATAAAATGTCTCTTTAAATAAATGCCCCCACCATTCCACACCCCTGGAGACCAAGGTGGTGGTCGGGGGGTGGGGGGGGCATTCAGTCCAACAATCAATCTCCCACCACAGCAAAGGAAACATGCAGAGACGCTCACCCAGCTGGAGGGGGAGGGGGAGGGAGGTGGCTAGGGTAAGGGGGGAGAGCCCCCCATCCCAATCTGAACAGGGAATGTATGAAAATAGCTGCATAAATCTGTCCTCTTCCCCAGGCCCCCCACTCCAACAGGGGCCAGAGGAAAACGATGCAAAAGAGAAGTTGAATCTGATGAGCAAAATAAGGCAAACCCAGCTCCTGCTTTCTGCCCGCTGGCCCGGGGCTCAGGCCAGGAGGGCGGCTGGCAAGAGGGCAGTGCTACGACCAGGGTCCTTCCCGGGCCTGTGCAGTGGAAGGGAGACGGAGGAAGCTGGGCTGAGGCACTGGGTATGTACATATATACACGGCTCCACCCCCCTGCCCGCCCGGGGGTGGGGGGCTGGGCAGAATCCAGTGCAAACTCTCCTTCAGGGAGGGAAGACTTGACGAGGTTGGCCAGCGCCGTCGGAGGGAGCAGGGTCCCCGGGGCCAGGCGTGTGGAGGCCAAGAAGGGACTCGCATGGCATGCTGGACACCAGGCGGGGGTGGGAGAAGCAGGAGTCACGAGTCCACATCCAGGCCTGGCTCTGTGACCCAGGTGCTCAGCTACGGCTCAGGCCACCGTCCTGTCGGAGGAAGATGCCCACCCAGAGGACGCATCCGCAAGGGCTCATCTAGCTCTGACCTTCACCGAGTAGAATTCCCATCCGAGTGCCAGGGCACTGGCTCGGGAGAACGAGAGTCCAGGGCCTTCCCCAAGCAGCCGGGACAGTGCGCCGGGGCCTCGGGCCTGCAGGACGGGCCGCAGCATCACTCCTTCTTCCCAGAGCCCAGTTTCCTGAGGAGCTGCTTCCCCTTGGAGAGGAGACCCCACACCTTCTTGCTCGGGCCCTGTGGTGCCCCCCATTCAATCCCGGAGAAGCGGCCAGGGCCGGGAGCACAGGGCCAGCCGGGTGGCGCTGGGGGCCCTTGGGTTGAGCTGGCCCAGGGCTAGAATGGGAGAGAAAAGGGGCAACGTCAGGGCCTGACGGCCAACCCACCCACCTCCGTTCTGCCGCAACCTCAGGGGCCTGCAGACCCCAGGTCACGGAACCACGGTCGTGAACCAAAACCCACCACCTGGCTACTGCCCCCCACAGAGCACGGAGAGGCAAACGGGCGCGATGACGCTGAGGGAGCACTGAGCTGGGAGTCGGAAGGGACGGACGTGGAGTCTCATTTCTGCTCTGTTCACTTGGACCTGGGCAAGCCCCTCCCCTTCTCTGGGTTTCTCTGTAGGATGCTGGGCTCAAGAGTCCTTGGACCTGACCCTCGGCTTGGGTGCTCCAAATACCCCACGTCATCCCCTCCCAACCGAAGGTAGAGCGGGGACAGGGACGCTGGAGGGGGCCATACACTCCAGGAACGATGGTTCCCGCACCAGCGCACAGACGGAAGGAGCAGGCCCGCACAGGCCAGCAGACGCGGTGTCCCAGGGCCTTCAGGGAGTGGAGGAGTGCCCACCCCATGGGGAGGAGACGGAGCCTCTTCCTTGAAGGGCCCCTGAGAGGGCTGCAGGGAGCCCAGGGCCAGAGGGGACTCACGGTCGGGGGGCATTCTGCGCCCACCACAGCTCTGGAGGCTGCTGCCCCTCCCTTAGCACGTCTCCCTTGCAGAATCTCCTCCTTGCTCCGTTTGCCACCGTGAGTGGCTCCCTCTGCCACAGGCCCACCCAGACTGTGCTGTTAGTGGCCTAAGAACAGCGGCTGGGCAAGCAAGAGAGCCACGCGCAGGCCTCCCCGCTACCCGCCAAATTCCCACATCCACTCTGCGACCTCCTGTGCCTGGTACAGCCCCGTCCGCTCCTGTCAGCCTGTGTGCTCTCCATCCCCTGCCCCCCACTCCCTTCCTCAAATCCCCGCTTCCACCAGCACCTGGCAGTCTGCTGGCAGGTGCTGGGTGCCCAGGCTGGAGCCTGCCCTCACCTAAGACCCTGGTGATGTGGCAGGGCCGCCCAAAAAGAGCTCTGCTAGCACCCAGAGGTCGAAGAGTGTCTTGCCAACTAGCCAGGGCTGATGGCTGGCCGGGGTGGGGCGGAGGGGAGTAGGCCCTTCCCACCCCCTCCCAGGGCTCCCAGGAGGGAGGGGTTGCTGGGGAAACAAATGGAGGGAGTCTCTGAGCCCCAGAGATGAATGGTCTGGGGTTACCTACGGACTCCAACTGTTTAAGCCTCCCCTTTTATGCCCCCCAGCGGAGAAAATGGAGAGTTGGACATAAAATCATGCATCTGATTCCCTAATAGGTCACGATACAGGGGAGACCGTGGTGGGGGAGACTGTTATTACTGGCGGCGTTAGTGTCATCCCTCTGTCACCAATAATAATCACAATATTATAATACCATAGTCTTATAGTATCATAATATACTGATGAGCCATATGAATGTCACGTACTATTCTATAAGCCACACGTGCTATAGAATATGAGGACTCAGCTAATATGGGACATTATATCCTAGGGTGACACGTATTCCCGTGGCAGCTGGCATTGCCCAGAGGAAGGCAAGGGGAGGGGCTGATCCTAGGCCCAAATCTGGCTCACGGCAAGAGCTCCGTCCCCTGTTCCCTGGAAGAAGGTGGAAAAGCCAGCTCAGCTCCGGTGTCTGAGACAAAGGAGCGCCTTCTGATTATGGTGACACGAGGAGTAGGGTGACATGGACATAGGGGGTCAGTCCCCACTTACATGTCGCTTTCTCTACATATATCTATCTCCATCTAGCACTGGACTCTTCTCCTCCTCGTTCTCTGAAGAACAGGGAACAAAGAGAGGAGATGGGTTACGGCCAGACCATACGCTCTCCACCCGGTCACCAGGTCGCCCAGGTCACCAGGCCTTAGCAGCAGGTGCTGCTCTGCATAGCCCCTGCCTTTGGAACGATTGCACGTGGAGACCCAGGGCTTTCTGGTTGGCGCCTGGCCTCCTCACCCTCTCCCTGCCCCATGAACCTGGAGCTTAATTGTACTCCACCCACCCAGGAAGCTGGGCCTTGCTGGGCATCTGGCTTTAAGAGGCACCTGGGAGACAGAGAGACGCAGCAGTGGGGTGGGGAGGGTCCCTGTACCAGGCGCTGTGACAGCTAGAGGTGTGGGAGGCTTGAAGGTCCTTTTCCATAGGGCCCCTCACCTGCACTGGCCGAGGGTGTGGACAGGGGGGGATCAAGGTCTCGGCCTCACCCCACTGCACAGAGGGCCACGCACTGGGAGGGAGCCACCCCGGCTGGGCTCCCTCTGGCGGTAGCTCGCAGCCCCGCCCTGGGCGCAGTGCGCACCTGGACCACTGCCCGGCTGCACTCCTCGCACGACGCCATCCTGCCCACCCCTGCCCCCCTCCAACCACACCAGCAGCATAGAGACCCAACTGCTGAGCCAGGAACCCAGGTCCTCACTGACCTGCCCCTCGGCCTGGGGTGTCCCGGGCTCCCTGTCTGAGCCGCCTGCCTCAGGCCCAGGGCCCTCCAAGAAGTTGGATGGAACCAGGCCCCGCTGTCCATTCAGTTCCCCCTGGGGAGGAGATGCTGAGACTAAGACCAGGAGAGGCCTCACCCCCAACCCCTTGACCCTGAAGCCCCCGGGGGACGGGCTGGGGTCAATGTCACTATCATGGGAGGCTACCTGGTCCACTCCTCCGGGCTTCCATCAGGAACCCTTGCTCATCCCCCTCCCTGGCTCTGGGAGAGCCCTCTTGGGCACATCCCCCCACCCCCATGTTCTCACATAGTAGAAACCATCATCGTCCATGCCCCCAAACACAGTGATGACGTCCCCTGCCCGGAAGGGCAGCTCTGCCTGTGGAGAGACCAAGAGGCACGTGTCAAGCCCGGGGAGGCCCTGCCACCACCCAGCTTGGCCGGGCTCTATCTGAGGGTCCTCACCTCCACATCCATGTTGGGGGAACTCTCCCGGGGGTTGTAGTCAAATGCAGCCACCATGGAGCGGGGAGCTTTCAGGCCAGTAGAGGAGACCGGCTGGGAGGCGCCTGGAGGGGGAGGGGGAGAAGACTCAGGACTCTCTCTAGACCCTCCCCCACCCCCCTACCATCCTTGGCACTGGAGGCCTGCTGACCCCTATTCACCACCTGCCTGCTAGTTGTAGCCCCTGGGGAGAGGTCGGAGGGGCTGCCCCACCCCGTCTGTCTCCCCAGTCTCCACTGCACAGGGACGGCCCCTCACCTGCACAGGGCTGGGCAGGGCCTTCGGACTCAGCTGCGGAGAGAATATGACTGTGAGCCCCGCCCCTCGCATCCCTCTTCTTTGGGGGCGGGGGGGGGGGGGAGGGTGCAGCCTCACACAAGGGATGCAGGAGAAGGACGCCCGGAGAGCACATCGGCCCGGCCCTTCGGTTTTCATAGCGAACTAAGGCCCAGAAAGGGTAAGGGACTCGCCCCAGCTGGCAGAGAGTTTATAGTCGGGTGCTTTCTGGAACAGAGGTCCCAGCAAACCACTCCCCATCTCCATTAGAATGAAGCTGCCCCCTGGAGCAGTGGCTGGGGATGAAGGTCTGGCTCGATTCCCTGAACCTGCTCAAGACCTCCCACGCGTCTCCCCAGGGAGCCACGCAGTGTCCCCACCCTCCCGTCCTCACAGGCCCCCGAGGGAGAAGGGGGTCTCACCCACCTTTCTTGGAGCGGCGGGGCTTGGGGGGAGGCCCAGCTGTGCGAGCTGTGGAGTAGACAAAGGGACCGTTCCCTGGTCCAGAAAGGCAAGCAGACGTCAGAGAGAAGCCGAGGCGAGGGAGGGAGATGGGCAGTGATTTCAATCTTCTCTCGGGGCTGTACTAGGGCTCCTGCACCAGAGCGTCTACGCGCATTCCTCTCTCATCCCCCACCTCCCGGATCCAAAATACAGGGCCCGTCCCCTCGGCAGTGAACCCCCACTCCAGGCGGCAAGTCTCTGAGGGGGACAGTGGCTCTGCCAGACCCTGGACCAAGCAGGCACCTCGGCCACTCCAGACACACGAACTGCTCTGGGCGGGGGCGGTGTTGGAGTTGGCACCATGGTGGCAGGAAGTGGGTGGGGGACAGGAGCAGGTCATACCTGAACCCTCAACGAGAACATCTGGGGACAAATAGCCCCGCTGGAGCAGCTGCTCTCTCCCTGCAGGACTGTCCGCAGTCACCTCGGACACCATGTTGCACGGGATGTAGCCCATCCGGCCCCCGCCTTCACCCCGATAGAAGCCATCGGCATCCTTGTCCCCAAACACCTGGACGCGAAGAAGACCCGTTGTGTCAGGAGGCCAGTTCAGCTTGCTCCCTGCACCCGAGGCCCCGAGCTCACAGCGCCACACTTGGGACTGCAGAGGAGTGTGCTACCTTTTGTGGAACAGGAGATGGGGGAGATAGCCAAGAACCGGATCAGAGGGATGACAGAAAATAGCCCTTTCCGTGTGGTCATCACCCACTATCTGCCCATGCATCCCCCCAGTCCAGCCCAGACTAGATCCCCCTGACCTCAGAGCGACAGCCGAAAGCCTTCAATAAACACTTGGAGGCACAATAAAAGTTACGATGCTAACGGCAGCAGTTATCACATCGTGTTATGCGCCAGGCAGTGTCAGGGCTCTATGGGTACTGAATCATCTCATCCTCAAACAACCCTGTGAGGTGGACACTTAACATTATCCCCATTTCACCAATGAGGCCCAGAGGAGTTAGCTAATCTCCTCAACGTTTCACAGCTAGATGTGGCAGAATCAGGACCCAACCCCACATCACCTGGCTCTAGAAGCTGTGTTTTCACCCACGCGTGGCTATCGTACCCCCAGCGCAGGAAAGGAGGGAGGAAGGAGGACCAGACGGTGAGTCAGTCACCTTCAGGATCTGGCCCTCCTGGAAGGGGAGCTCCTCTTCCCCGGCATCAGGGTTGGGAGACATCGACACGGGGTCATAGTCAAACAGAGCCACAAAGACCCTGACAGGTAGGTCCTGGTAAGCCAGTGCTTCTTCTGGAGGGCTCCTCAGAGGGGCTGTTGGGGAGAGCGGTGGCAATAAGCTCTGGCCAGGGGGGCAGGAAAGCCCCCTCAGCCTGGCCCAGCCCCCCACAGGTGCTCACCCAGCTCCGCGGAGCCTGGCCTGGGGGCCCGGCCCCCTCTCCGCTGGGGGCCCCTCCGCCCAGAGCCATCCTGCCCTCTGGGCTCCCCAGTCTCTGTTGCCTGCAAAGAGAGGGCAACAGACGGCAGAAGTGACACACCGCCCCTCTGGCGGGCACCTCAGCAGGGGCGGGACCCCGCAAGCGCTCCCCCAGCTCTGCCCCGTCAGCGAAAGCGGCACAGCAGAGCAGGGACACACGTTCCTCTCCTGGAGCCGTGGCCCAACCTCACTGGAGGCATCAGACACCCCCACGTGGGGAGGAAGGGCAGGAGGGGAGGCCCAGCTCCGGCCACCTTAGTAGATGAGTGCAGTTGAGGGACTAAGGTTAGATCTGAGAGTTGGCCGAGGAGCGTGGGAGAGGAGTGCCTCTTCTCGGTGTCAGGGTTGGGTGATGCCGGACATCACAGTCAGTGTCCTGAAGATGTAACTAGCTAAGCAGAGGAAAGGGCCCCCCGGCCCAAAGGCAGGGGGCCGGCGGGCGGCAATTGGCGACTTATGGCCACAGAACATTGTGCATCCCAGTTCCGACCGGCAGAAGCAGCAAAGCAGTGGAATGCGGGTGGGAAGAGGCAGGTGAGGGAGCCCGGAGGCCCAGCCCCACCTCTGCTGATGGAGACGGCAGCGTGGAATGGGAGCGGCCGGTGGGCAGCAGGCAGGGCCACCAGGCGGCAGCAGGCAGGGGGCTGCCCAGGGAGGGGGGAGGGCACGGACCCGGGAGGGTGACTCCTTGGCTCTGCCAGCGGCACTGCGGCCTCTCCGCTCTGGCTCCCCTTTCTCCCAGGCCGGGAGGCGTGGGTAGGGGTTGGGGCCTGAATTGGCCTTCGGAGGCCCCCTGGGCCTTCCCGTGGGTGCTGCACCCCACGCCTCCCCGTCTCCGAGGTAGCAGGAGCTGGTGCCGCTGACGCCCCCGCCGCCCGTCTCTTGCTCATCCTCAGAATCATATTCGATGCTGATTTCCAAGCACTTGGGGGAGAGGCAGCTGGCCAGGCCCGATTCCGGGGCTGGGCCACGGGGACACCTCCTCGAAGGGGCCGGCCGCCCTCTCCCACCAGCCTCCGGTCCAGCTCTGGTGCCCTCGCCCACGGGGGGGCCGCCCCTCTCCCGGGCGGGGCCCGGTCGTCCAGAGGCCTGGGACCCGCCGTTGCTGAGAAGTCGGCTGCAGTGTTCACGGGGATCTGGGGACCGCCTGCGGCTGGGGGGCTTCTCGGGAGAGCCACTTCCTTTTCTCCAGCTGCTTCCACCAACGAGTCCAGGCAGGTCCTCCAGGCGGTCCCCAGCCCTGGAGGGCTCGGGAGACAAAGGACATAGGCCAGGTCCTCGGGGCCGACCGCTGTCACAGCCCAGCCCCAGGAATGCAGGCTCAGGCGGGTCAGGGTCCCGGGAAGAAGAGCCTGCCCCCCGCCTCTTCTCGTCCTCTTCATCCTCTTCTTCCTCCTCCTCAGGGATGCTAAAGAGCTTCTTGCTGCAGAACTGCTGGAGAGGCAGCTCCAGGATCTGCTCCAAGATCTCCTCGTCGCTGTCAGTCTCACAGAAGGGGTCGGGCTGGGGCTGGGGGGAGGGGGGGAGGGCGGCAGGGGAGAGAGGTCCGTGGGAAAAGGACAGAGTTGTGACCTTTGCCCTCAGATGAGGGCAGGGGTTTCAGGTAACCCATAGCCCTCTCTCAGCTTCCTCCAAGAGGAAAGACCAGAGAGAGAGGCCGGCCCCAAATCACAGAGCATGTCCGGGGCAGAGCCAGAGGAAGAATTAAGGAGCACACCCAAGAATGGGCTGCCCAGATGCTGGGATCCCGAGGGGAGAAGCGTCAGGGAACAGGCCATGCCTGTCACAGCAGGGAGGCCTCCCGTCCCCTCCTTGGAAGCTCCCAGCACGAGCTCTCAGATGGCCAGGGCGCTTGCGTCTGGTGGGTTTAGTGGGGAGAAGTTACAGAAAAGAGTGCCTCGTTCTCCCCTTTCTTTCCAGGAGGGCAGAAGCCAAGCCTGAGCCGCTTCCTATCTGCTGCTCAGGACAGGGCTCAGGCCACACACCTAGAATGTTGCTGGCACTCGGTGGCATTGGAGCCGCTGCTGACACGTGGGGCAGAGGCCCCCAGAACCCGAGGTCTAGGGCCCACCAGTCCCTCCTCACCCCGTTACCTGGGCCCCATTGTCCCTGAGGCTGTTGCCAGCACCCTGCGTCGGGGAGGAGCAAGTTCTGACACCCAGCTCCTCTGCCTCGGCCTCCTCCTCCTCTTGGATGTCTGACAGATCTGAGTTGCGGCCATGGTCCACAAGGGCGCTCCCCAGACGGACCCCAAGCTCGGCCGTGTCCTCTCTCTGCAAGAGGCCAGCCAAAGGAGGAGAACAGGGAGGTGAGGGAGGGCGCTTTGGCAGGGTCAGCCCCAGCCAGAATGAAAGGGGTCCCTTGGCAGAGGGAGACAGGGGCATGCCCCAAACGGGGGGTACGCAGAGCAGGGGGTGGGGAAGAAGAAGGATGGCAGCCAAAATGGAAAGAAACCTGGAAGACAAAGTGACAAAGAGCTGGCCAGACATACAGCACAGACCAGGGCCAGAGCAGTGCAGAGAACAAGCAGAGAGGACAGCCGGCTCTGGGCTGGCAGAGGGCAGGGAGGGGGGCCTCGATTCCTTGAGGTGGCCCAGTGTCCCCAACCCCGTACCTCAGCCCTGGGCCTCAGCCCAGGCCCTGTGTCTCCTGCACGGCAGGCCTCAGCACAGGGCAGCCTCTGGGCCAGCGCTCCCTGGGTGGAGCCAGGGGCCGGGCGGGCCTCTCCCACAGTCCACTCAGCCTTCTCCTCGGCCAGGGAGGAAGCTGCAGGGCCAGGAACTCGCTCTCCCGAGGTTGGCTCACTGGCCTTCCTGTCTCCTGGGGCCCCCAGCTCGGCTGCCCCAGCCTCCTCCTGGAATGGCAGGCACTGAGGAAGGGCCCAAGCGCCAGACCCTTCTCCCAGGCTCTACCTGCTCCCCTTCTCCCCAGCAGCGTACCTGAGAGCCAGGCACCGGGGGCTCCTCTGAGGATCCTTTTGGTGTCTCTCCGGGACAGCTTGCTGGGGAGCCCCCGGGGGGCTCTCGAGCTCCACGGGGGTTGGGGCACTGGAGGGGAGAGCTGGGGTCTCCAGGCCCCGGGGAGGCTGGAGCAAGGGGCAGTCTGGCCTCCGAGCCCAGTCGTGGGGAGGGGCAGGAGACCCTGGCTGGTGAGGAGGCCTCAGCCAGGGCGGGGGCGACGGGAGCCGGGATGGAGTCGGCCGACTCGCCGTGGGGCGACATGGTGCGCACGGCCACTGCGCGGCACGCCTGCAGCAGCTGCAATTGCGACAACTCCACCAGCACGCTGCCTGCCGTGGGGGAGGCCACCTCCATGATCTGCAGGGCGGAAGGAGCACAGGAAAGGGAGGCTGAGGTGGCCAGGTGTGAGGACTCCACGACCACCACCGCGACTAGCATCATGCCAGGCACGGCGCCTTTGGTGTGCCACGTCTCATCTAAGCCTCCCGGCCACGTGGTTTCAGTGGTGGAATCCCAGTCACCTGCTACCAGAGCCCACGCTCTTAACCAATCTGCTACTTAGTGCCCAAATGCCAGGGCCAGGCAGCCCCTGTGCCAGGCTGGGGAGACTAGGCCTCTGAGCGTGGCGAGGAGAGACCCACATCTCGATCCCAGGGTACAGGTGGGCAGTCCCCAGGCCATACCTTCTGCCCATCGGCATAAATGGCGTAGCCTGTGACGCGGACGCCGTTGGAGGTACCGGCAGCATCGATTGTTACCGGGAGCCAGCTGATGAGCAAGATTCCAGGGGAGGGGCCTGGCTCAACCTGCACATCCAGGGGGGCATCAGGTGGGCCTAGGGGGAGGGGGGCACAAGACCCAGTAATGCGGCACACTCACTGCCAGACGTAACAGCCCGCTTTGCCATTTCTCTAAAAACGCAAGTAGCAACAGTCTCCCCTTCGGACCCATCCGTGGCCTGACCTCCCAGGTGTTAAAGACACCAGGTGCCCAAGCCCACCTACCTGCTGGGAGTGTGGTGAACTGCAGGGTGGCAGCCCGTTGCTCTGGCCTCTCCAAGCCCGGTTCCCAGGACCCTCGAGGTGGGAGCTGAGCCTCCACTCGGGCCTGATAGAGTGTACCAGGCCGCAGGTGGCAGAAGGTGGCCCAGTAGGTGCTAGGGCAGGCAGAGAGGCACTCTTCCCCATTGAGGTAGATGGCATGGGCCAAGTTGCTATTGCCGGGCGCCCAGGTGATTTCAGCGGACGTGGCTGTCAGTCGATGGACCCGCAGCTGGCTAGGTGCCACCCCGGCCCCGGCCCCTAGCACCAAGCAACAGCGCAGAGGGTCAGAGCCGCCCCAGCTGGTCAGGGCCTGAACAGAGACGCGGAGGGGCCCAGTCTGCAGGTCCAGATTCTCAAGCACGGCCGTGGGGGGCGCCCCGGGCCCCAGGGCCTGCCGCAGCTCCCCATTCACACAGACGTGGTAGCCACGCAGCTCCACGCGTTCAGGAGGCGGCTCCCAGGCCAGCACCACGCTGTGGGCCAGCTGCTTGAGGACAGCCAGACAGCGGGGGTGAGGCGCGGCAGGGGGCTCGCCCAGGCCCTCGGGCGAGGGGCTCAGCCTGAGCTCGTCCCCTGCAGCCTCTTCCTCTGTTCTGGGCTGGCTGCGTCCCCCGCTGCTCTGGCCTCCACTACTGCTGCCGCCCGCGCCGCCACTCAGGAAACTGAGTTCAGGGCCTGAACTGTGGGACAGATCAGCCAGCTCTGGAGGCAGGGAGGTCAGGAGATCGTCGTCGGACACACGCTCTACAAAATTGGAAGGGACCAGGCCCCTTCGGCCATCCATGAGCTCCCCTGGTGGCGGGAGGGCAGGGGAGGGGAAGACAGAGAGGAGGTAGAGAAAAAGCAGTCCAATAAATGCATTTTAGCAATGGTTAGTGGCTGGTCTTAAGCATCTGATTCAGAGCAACATTTACCTGTCACCGCTTTTTAAAAGACAGGAGCAGTCAAGATCTGGGTTAGGGAGTGACTGGTAATTCTCAGTGGTGTGATAACAGTATTGTAGTTATATAGGACAGACATCTTACATTTTAACGTGCGTATGAATCACGTTAAAATACAGACTCTAACTCAGCTGGGTCTGGGTGGGGCTGAGATTCTGCATTTCAAACGAGCTCCCAGGTGACGCTGCAAGGATGCAGAAGGATGTCCTTAGAAGGAGATGCGTGTTGAAATGTGTCTGGGTAAAGTGCCATCTGTCTACAGCTTGCTTTTCAATCATCTTTTTAACCTACATACAGAAAAGGTAATTATGGCAAAATGTTACCAAGTTGAATCTAGGTGGTGGGTACACAGGTATTCACTGTACTATTTAATTTTTCCATATGTTTGAAAACTGTCGTTTTACACAGGCCTGAGGAGTGAGGGAGGGGGTGCCCCTCAACTTCCCTGTGTGGGAAACAGACATCCTCAAAGGGAGAGGGACGCCCATCTGGTCAGAGTAAGGGAAGGAACTTTTAGACACAAAAGACATACCTGCCAGAGAAAAGAATCCCCTGTGGGTTCTAGAAGGGGTTGAGACCCACAGCAGACCTGGGTGCAGGAGTATGACTGGCAGTCAGTTCAGACAGCGATGGACGGTAGGCTCTGTTACCCTGTGCCAGTTGCCCTGAACACTTGGCAATAGAGTATTATAAAGCATTTGTTTTTTGTTTGTGGGACATCAGAAAAACAAGAAATTGGACACCCAGTCTGTCACGTCACAGCTAATTTGGGAAAAGGAGAAAGATTCCTGGGGAACAGATGAGCTGGTGGCTGGTGTGCCTTACTGGGAGAAAGGAGGAGCGAGGGCCAGGGTTTGGGGGGTGTAGGCAGGCCTGAGCTGCAGGAAGGCGCGTAAGTTCCCCAACACCCTCTCTCTCTACTTATGCTAGGAGGGAAAAACAAAAAGTAAGAAACTTGAAGAAGAAACAAAAGGGACTTTCAATAAATTAGATAACGTGAGCACTGTACTGGGTTGAAAGGTGGTCTCCCCAAAATATGTCCACATCCTAAACCCTGGATCCTATGAATATGACCATATTTGGGAAAAGTGTCTTTGCAAATGCAATTAAGTTAAGGAGCTTGAGATGAGATCATCCCGGACTATCTGGGTGGGTCCTAAATCCAATAACAAGCGTCCTTATAAGAGGCACATAGGGAGAGACACTGAGAGAAGAGGAGGAAATGTGACCACAGATGCAGAGACTGGAGCGATGTGGCCACAAGCAAGGAGCACCTGGACCCACCAGAAACTGAAAGAGACAAGGAACAGACTCTCCCCTAGAGCCTCCAGGGGGGAGAGGGGCCCTGCCAACAACTTGATTTCACGCTTCTGGCCTCCAGAACTGTGAGAGAACACATTTCTGTTGTTGGTGGAAATTTGTTACAGAAGCCCTAGAAAATTAATATAAGCACTAACACTATGGGGCGTGAGGTTAACGGTAGGAACCAACTAAGCAGATCCACAGCCCTGAAAGGCTGGTGCTGGAGCCTGGGCCAGAGTCAGTCTTGTGCTCCTGAAGCTTGAGCCACTGAGAGCAGCCCAGGTGGGACCAGACACAGATGAAGCAGTCACTTAGCCGAAGTATGAGGAGGAATAGGGCATCCTACACCCAGTTGTCTACAGGCCTTTCAATCTATCCCAAACTGCATAGTTCAAATTCTAGTAATTAGTTAATATTTATGTTTTAGCTGCCCCCCTCCAAACAACGGTGTTGGTGTTTTTATTTTTTTTTTAATTAAAAAAAAGCGTTTTCCCGGGAGCTATTTAATCCCGCTCTCCATTATCCATCCTTAAAGAGAATTTAGCTGTGTACCATCATTCCCAGCACCTACTCAAACAGCAGGCGTGGGGCCCAAGGAGGAGAGGCTGGCAGGCTCTGAAAGCTTCGCGTGTTACAGGCCCAGACCTAACTGCTTTCCTAAATCCCCACACACGGCTGCAGCTCTCACCCTGCCCTGTGCAGCCCGCATCCCAGTCTCCGTACAGTGCCATCCTCCCTACTGCAGAAGGATGCAGCCTGGTGCCTGGCCAGGGCCACCGTGCAGAGTCTCCCAGGCCATTTCTTCTGCAGGCCCCGCCCTGTTGCCCAGTCTCAGTAATGGGGCATCCGCCGCGGTTGCCCCATCCCACGGGCACTGTAGAACTGCCCTGAAGCTCACGCCCTGCCTGGGCCCTGACAACTGCTAACCGCTTGTTAGCACACTTTCCTGGGCTCTGGACCCTGATTCTTCCTCCCCACACTGATTGGGGCACAGCATCAGATCTATGCCCCATGCCTGACCTCGAGGTCACTAGTGCTAAGCACTGCCATGCCCTGTCTGCCAGCACAAGAATGAACTTAGCCGAAATTCCCTGTGGCATTCTGTCCGCCACCTGGACCGTTGTAGGCCCTGTCTTGCTCTGGGCAGGTCCGGAGTCAGACCAGCTGCTCCCACGACCCTTCCTTTCCCTTTCCCTTTCCTTTCCCTTTCCCCGCGAGCTGCCGGGTCTCTGGAGGCCTTTCAGCTGAGCCTGAGAAGTTACAGTGGACTGAGAGGATACAGATGGGTGGAGGTCTTCAGGAAGAGGAGCTTAAAAGCAGGCGAATGGACAGAATGACCCCACTACCTTCCTACCTTCAAAGAAGCCATCCTCGTCCATGTTGCCATAGATGTAGATGTACTCGCCAGCGGTAAGCGGAAGCTCTGCCTCTGGGTTCTCATTGGGGCCCTCGAAGGGGTTGTAGCTGTTGGAGCAGGTGCAGAGGAGGAGGCGGAGGACAGCGACTGACGTTCTGTCTCCGTGTCCTGTGTCCTCTCCCCCAGTGCACTCGGCCTCTACGGAGACTTGGTTGTCCCCCTTTAACCACGTGGAGCACCCACTGTGCCCAACGAGGCTAAGAGGACATGTCCCGCTGGGGTCCCTGCCCCACTCCCGCTGTCTCCAGAGGCCTCGCTCTTCACCGCCCCCCCCTTACAGCCCAAGTGCTGGGGAAATGGGGAGCAGGGGTGAGGGCCCACCTGTAGCGAGCGAGGAAGACCTGGATCCTGGCTCCTCCCCGGCTGCCCTCCGGGGCTGCTGGCGGCAGGGAGACGCTGTCTGCCTCCAGCTCCTCCACCTCGCTGGCTGTGTCCACCTGCGGACACGCAGAAAGGGCCAGTCCCCTCCAGGAGCCAGGGGCCAAAGGCACAGCAGGCAGAGGAGGACCCACCGTTTTGAGAAGAGAAACTGAGCAGATGCTGGGCAAGGCCAGCAGCGATGGGCCCCGATGTTTTCTAACTCAGCACCTGAGCTGGCAGGGCCTGGCGGAGCCCAGATGCCCTGGCTCAAGGGACGAGGGCGGGGGAGGTAAACCGGATCCCTCCCTGAGCCCTGGCCTCTTTTCTGCACCAGCCCAGTAAATAAGATCACTTTCCCCATCGGAGAGGGGGCCAGCCACACCGGTGGGGGAGGGGCTGGGGAGGGTGTCCCACGACAGTCTGTCTCCTTAAGGTAAAAACGCCGCCAAGCACTCCGATGGTGAAGAGCTGGAGGCCAGGAGGCAGAAGGGGCTGAGAAGGCCCCGTGACGAGGGTACTGGGAGCGGAAACCGGGGCACCCAAAGCCAGCACCACCGCTCCATCCCACAAGGGGGCAGTAGAGGCCGCGGCCGGGTTCTAGCCCCTGAAACCACCCGGGGCTGCAGGGCTGCTCCTGACCGCCCTCCCGGCCCACACACCTTCTGGGGTTTGGAAGGTAGAGAGAGGGATGAGGTGATCAGAGGGGTTGTGACTGATACCAAAGAATGTGGTAGTGGTACAGCTGCCACACGTTAAGCGTCCACGGTGTGCCCGGCACTGAGGGAGGTACCACCCTTGTATTTTTTCACATAATCCTCACAGCAGCCTCACGAGGCAGGGTTATTAGTTCCAAATCCAGACAAGGAAACCGAAGCCCAGAAAGAGGCAGCGACTTGCCTAAGACAAAGCTGGGACCTGAATCCCGGAACCTGCGCTCCTGCACGAAGGACCGCCTGCTTCTGCCGCAGACACGCAGGACCAGCCTCATTGGGTGGATCCTGGCGCCGACGTGTCTGCCTCCATCCAGCCCAGGACTCTAGGGCCTCTCTGGGCCCCAGAAGGGTGGGGCTGGGCGGCCCCAAGGGAGGGCTTGCAGGAGGGTGGGATGGGCCCCACCTGAGCTCCCCGCCCGCCAGGAGGAATCCACGGACCCCTGCCTCCCGGGTCCTGGCTCCACTTGGGACCCCACACGGGCCAGCGGCCACCCAACTCCCCACCCCCTTTCCCCACGGCAGAGCCAGACCCCAGGCCCCGCCCCAGCACTGACCTCGGGCGTAGGGCATGACTTGGGGCTGTTGTGGATGGACTCGGAGCGAGAGGAGTTGGACAGAGACTCTGCCTTCTTGGCCGTCCTTCGGGGGCCGCCAGCAAGGGTGGCAGGGGCAGGCTCGGAAGACTTTGGGGTGCAGCGCCCTGGGGAGCCTGGCGGGAGGTCAAGGTCTAAAGAAAAGATGACATGTAGCCTTGGGGTCTGTGGCCTAAGGAGTGACCAGGGACCAAGGGTCCTCTTGGATCTAGGGCTCAGGCCCTCCACGGCCAAGCTTCCTTACAAGAAGGGAAATACTGGGTGGGGGGGACTTGCTAAGTGGAGGTGGAGGTGATTTACGTGTATTATCTCATAGGCTCCTCAGAGCAGCTTGGTGAGATGCACTGGGTGCTCCTGTCTTACAGCTCAGAACACACGGCCCACAGAGCGTCAGCAGCGTCATGGACCGTTAAGTGAGTGGAGCTGGGACCACGAGATCCGACTGAAGCCCAGCTGGCTCCTCACCAGCCCATACCGCCTCCTACTGCCTGCTATTGCCCACCTCCCAGGCATGGCCACAGAGATCTTGTTGAAGCAGGAGGAGCAGCAGGCCAAGAGGCTCCCCGCGGGCTTGTTTTATCCCATTGGAGCCTGGTTCAAGCCAGACCTGGCTCTAACTTGCTGTGTGATGTTGGGTGAGTTGCTAGCCTTCTCTGACGCTGAGTTCTGCTCTATACAAAAAACCCCAGACCTGGGGATTCCAGGCTAATGTCACGGGGGTCTACCTTACCTTTGGAGCCAGACCCCCGGCAGGGCTGGGGGGTGGAGCAGCAGGGGGGTGGCGGGCGGTCCCCAAGGGTACTGTAGCCCAGGGCGGAGGTGAGCAGATCCAAGGGGCCCGGGTGCAGGCGGAAGGCCTGGAGCTCCTGCGCCAGGAGGCTGAAGCGCTCAGTCTGGCTGCGGCACTGCTCCTCCAGCTCTCGAACCCGGACCTGGGCCAAGACCCACCGAAGCTGGCAGACCCCAGCTGTGCCGTCTCCACACAGCCCCACACTAGGCTTCACACCACATCTGCCCAGCCCCTAGGCCTGGGCACCAGCCCTCAGCCCGGCTGCCCCACTGCCCCGAATAGTGCGCGGCTGAGGGTAAGACCGGGAGCTGTGGGCCAGCCTCACTCCCAGCCCCGCCTCTTGCAGCGAGGCCTCGTGCCCCAGGCGGCGGCACTTCCCGCTTGCGGCCGCTTTCTAGGCCAAAAGGGGTCGCCCTACCCCCATCACCACCACAGTATCACTTCAGCAGCTTTCTCAGCTCCGTGGCTTGTCACCCTGCCACAGTCAGTGACCCAAATCCCTGCCCTCAGAGGAGTCCCCGGAGAGATCCCACACGGGAGCCAGGGGCATCTTTGTGACAGGAATGAGCCAATTCCCAGGAATTTTTCTCAGGGACCAGGAGAGTCCCCGTCAAGGAGATCATGGGTTACACTGGCAAGGAACTTCCTCAAGGTCTCAGCGGCTAGGTTTTAGAGGAGGGCAGGGCCTGTGTCTGCCAAGCACAATGGCAGATCTGGGACGAGGGGGTGGCCCACATGTCCTGTGAGAATCCCAGCCCACCTACGGAGTCTCAGGTCTGCTACCAGTCGCACCCCCGTCGTTGGACATGAGGGTTGGAACCACTTAGACCTAAGAGAGGAAACGCAGTTCGGCCAGCCTGGAGAGGTGTTGGGGAGGCCCCCCGCAGGGAGGTGGGGAATCAGGAGGACGTACCTGCATGGAATCCAGGGTAGACTGTGGCAGGAGAGGAAAGCACAGAGGAAAGGTTAGAACCCTTACCCTGTAGTTCATTGCCCAGAGAGGGAAGGAAGGAAAGAGGGACCCGAGCGGACCCCACCCAGTCAGCTCCCTAGACTGACCAAGCAATTGCTGAATGGAAGGATATTGCAGGGCCAAAGGCGGAGGGGATCCCCCCAGGCCCCAGAGCACTTAGCGGCCCTTCCTGGAAGCCCACTCCCCACACACTCACGCCACCCATTCCAGCGCTCTCTGAACCTCTCCAGCCTCCCCAAAGCGGGCAGAGCTAATGGCCACCCCCAGGGACCCACCTCCAGCAGCTGCACGGCCCCTTCGTGTTCCCTCTGGGCTTCTGCCTGGGCCTACAGGTGGGAGGAGGCAAAACGATAGAGGAGAAGGATAAGGAATGGGGGTGGGATAGAGTGTGATGGAAGGGAGGAGGGTAGGGAGGGTGAAGGGAGAGAAGAAAGGGGAGGAGGCGAGAGGATGAGGGAGGGAGAGGGAAGCAGGCTGGGAAGGGGCTGAGGGTTCCTCCCTCTGACTCCCACCCGGAATGGAGTCGGAAGGCAACAGGGTCGAGAGGGGCCTCAGACTGCTTCTCTCTTCCCAGGACCTCCTGCCTCAGGGTTTCCCTCCTGTCTCTCTTGAAGCTCTTCCTCAGCCTCTCCTGCCGGCTCATCTTCCACCCCTCCCGTGTTCGGTCGCCGCAGGGCACAGTGCCGGGCCTGCTTTTACTCTCTCCCAAAGGGTCCCCTCTAGGCACCCGACTAGACACACTGAACACTCCAAAGCCTGTCTCCAAGACCCACGTCCCCAGGACTCGAGACTCATAAACCCGGCTGTCTACGGACATCTCCACTTGAGTGTTTACCACACAACCCAGAGTTGGCCGAAACAGAGCTCAGGACTCCCTGCCTCTCAAATCTGAGGCCCTCCGTCCCTCACTCCTGGAGAGGGAAAAGCCTCACCCTCCATTTCGTCAGCAAATGGGTGAAAGGACGGGCACTCAACTGGAATCCCATGGTGAGCCCTGTCAGTTCTATGCCCAAATAATATTTCAAATCTCTCCACTTCTTTCCATCTGTGTTGCCTACACCCTAATCCACACAGCCATCATCTCCCGCCTGGACCCCTGCAGCCACCCGACACCTGACTGCCCTGCTTCCGTGCCCACTCCCCCGTCCATCCTCCACAGTGCTGCCAGCGCGATCTTCTAAAATGATGAATCAGGGCATGCCACTCCCCTGCTCAGGACCTTTCAGCAGCTTCTAACTACTCAGAGAGCAGAATATCCAAACCCTTCCCGTGACCTCTGAGGCCTGATGTGATCTGGCTCTTGCCCGCTCCGGCTGTTCTGTCCATTCTACTACGTTCTAGCCGCACTGGTCTGCACCCCCGAGCTCCTTCCTGCCTCAGGGCTTTGGCACTTCTAGTCCCCTTCCCTGGAGTGCTCATCAGCTGGCCCCTTCCGGCCCCTGACGTATTAGAGGCCTTCCCTGCAGAGCTCTCTAAAGAGGCCGCTCCCCCCATCCCAGCCACTCTGTGTCACATCACCCTGGTCACTTCCCCCACCGCGCTTGTCCATGACCAGGGTCATCTCACTCCTGGATCTGTTTACTCGCTGATCGGTCAGGGACCTGACCTTTGCCCCCTCCCGGTCCCTCCAGCGCCCGGCACAGTGCCTGGCACACAATGGGTTCTCAGTAAATACCCACTGGATGAGTGACGGTAAAGCTGGGGGTCCGGCAACCTACCAGCCTTCCCCCACTCCGACCCCCCCAGCCCTGCGCCCACCTGCTGCAGCCTCCGGACCTCCTCCTGCTTCTCCTGCAGGCAAAGCCGCGCCTGCTCATGCTCCACCTCCAGCTGCTGCCTCCGCTGGGCCACCTCCCGCATGTGCTGAAACACAAGAGCCCGCGTCAGGGCCCAAGCCCTGCTCTGCTGTTCCTACAGAAGATGCAAGACGAGGGTGCCTCAGACACCGTGTGTTCCAGATACTCTCTGTCGAAAAGGAAACTGAGGCTAGAGAAGGGAAGGGCCAGCGGCACCAGGACTCGGTCTACTCCCCAGTGCCCCACAGAGTGCCACGGTCCCACTTTCTCCCTGTGCCAGGGACCGATGCCCCACCCCCCACCCCCGCACAGGCCCCTCACCTTCAGCACCTGCTCCAGGCTCTCCAGCTTGCTCTGCAGGCCCCGGCTCTTGAGAAGGGCCGAGTCCCTCTCCTGCGTCACTCCCAGGAGCTGGCCCCTCAGCTCCACGTTCTCCCATTCCACCTGGAGAGCGGGCAGCGCCAGGGAGTGCAGGGTGTGAGCCTCAACCCCCAGCATCCTCACCAGGGGTAAGAGTATGCTTCCTACTCTAGCCCAGTCCGGGGCGGTGGGTGGAGGAGCCAGCCCTTTGCCTGGAGGCCAGGGGCCTAGCAGGACCTGGGCAGAGCTGCTACCTGCTCCTTCTCCGTGGCTCTCCCACTGAGCCGAGAGTTCTCCTCCACGAGGCGGGCATTCTCACTCTGGGCTTCCCTCAGCTGCAGTTCCTGCGAGACCAGAGGACCTCTGGGGAGGGTCCCAGCGCCCACCTTCCTCCTCTCCCCACACAGAGGACACTGCTCTCCCCCACCTGGAACGTGCATCAGCCAGGAAAGGGGAGCCCCGCAGATGGGGGGGAAAAGCACATTCTCTGGGCAGGAGGGAAGGAAGCAGAGCTGAGGGGAGCCCACCACCTGGCTGGCCAGAGGGAAGGGCGGAGCTGGCCCCCCGGGAGGCCCTCCCGGCTGGGCGCTCACCAGCTCCTCACATCGCCTCTGCTTTTTCCGGGCTTCCTGCTCCAGGCTCTCGCATTTCTTCCGCTTCTTGCTGAGCTCTGATTCCTGTGAGGTCAGAATGGAGCTCCTCATGTGGGAAGGCAGGTCCACCCAGAATGGGTCTCCTCCAGCCCTCGACCTGGGACTTACCAGCTGCTGCACCCTCTGCTGTTTCTCTGGCTCCCCTAGGACCACGGGTGGGTTTTCCACATCCTCCTGGGGCGTGGCCTGGAAATGGCCAGGGGCAGAGGGCTGGCACCTGAGAAGAGGGTCTCGGGGCAGCCTACCCCCAGCCCCGCCTGTCTGAGGGAGGTTCCCGCCCCATCTCACGGTCAGCAAAGAGATCCCTGCCCGGGAAGTAGGGGTGCTGTCTGGCCCCCCACCACATCCCCTCATCTCCAGCTGATGTGGAAGAGCAGAGGCTGCACCCCTGTGTCCTCCAGACACAGTGCTTTGAGATCCTGAGCCCCATGCGTGCCCTGGGAGATGGGTCCCTTATCCAGGCCAAAGCTTTCCCTTTTTAGCTTCCGGCCCTTCTCTGCACTCAATAACTGTCCCGGGTGTCCTTCAGCGACTGGCAGAGAACTAGGAGGCTGCCTGGGCCCCCAGGGATGTGGTGTCCCCAGAGCTAAGGGTTATGGATCCACAGAATCTGGGCTTGGCCCAGAGCCTGCAGACCTGGCCAGACCCTCCTCGCGGCTTCCACCAAGCCCACCCTATTGCACGTCCCAGTTATCCGTGCAAACTCCGGAGGACAGGTCTTGACGGGCGATGCATCTCCCTCTCTGGGCCAGGCAGAGGGGCAAAATCTGAGCAAGAAGCATCCCACGCCCTGAGGCCTTGGTCGTCAGGAGGTCCCTTCTCCCTCCCCTCTTCCCGGAAGGAGGCGGACCTAAGTGCAGCCCAGTACAGAGGATGGAGAGGAGCCAGACCTCTAAGTCCTGGGGGTCCGGAGCGGGGCCCCTAGCCCTCGGACCAGGGGCCACCTCAGCCCGGCGCCCAGTGAGGGTCGCCCGTACCTGGAGCTGGGGACGGACACACTGCCGCCCCCGAGTAGCCGGGCCGGGCCTGACGGACCAGGCGGGCGCTGAAGGGGGCGTCCCCGCGCTGCGGCGGCTGCGGCGGGAGGCGGCGGCGCGGGCTGGGCCCCGGGTGGCTGCCAGGGCAACCGGGGATTTGCAGCCGGGCCGTACCACTGGCGGCACGGCAGGGGCGGCGGGGCGGGCCGCGGGCCTCAGGCCTGCGGAGGGCGGACCCCGAGCCCCCGGGGGCGGGCACGGCGCAGGTACGAGCCCCGGGAGGCCGGGCAGAGGACCCTGCTCCCAGCTGGGGACAGTCCCCCAAGCCCTTGCAGTGCGCACGCCACCACCGCGTCGTCGGGGCCTTGAGCGCGGTGCAGGGGGAGATCCCCCGAGCCGCTCCCACCCCCATCTCCGCACACCCACACACCTGCCCATGCGCCGACGCTCACCTCTCCCGGGGCCCCGGGGGCGGGCGCCCCTGCTCTGGCCGGGGCGGCCAGGCCTGGGGGCCGAGGCGGCGGGGGCGGCTCCCTCTGGTTGCGCAAGGCGATCTGCCGCTGCAGCCGCAGCACCTCCCGCTGGGACTCCCGCAGCAGCCGGTCGAAGTCCCGCACGTGGAGCCACTGGGGGCCCTCCTGGAGTCGCGGGACAAGGAAGGGAGTCGGGCCTAACCCCTGCCCGCCCCACGCCATGCCCAGCAGAGCCCGCCCTCCGCCTGACTGGAGGGGCTCCGGGGCGGGGGAAGGTACACATCCTCCCATGCATACATGCCTGGTCATAGATGCATGCTTAGAGAGCCACATGCTTCCGCTAGCCCGTGTGCAAATATTCCCAGGAACTCGTTTGCTGGGCACTCCCGGCGTACCCGGCACTGTGCTAAATGCCTTGAGAACATCTCTTCACACCCGTGTGAGGTATGTGTGGACTCATACAGTCAGACCCACTGGCATGCAGCCTGAAGCCCGGAGCACAGAAATTCCCAGGTCTGGGACTCATGGCTCCACCCGCTTCGGTTCAGGCTCCTTCTCTCCCCGCTGCCACCTGGGCCGTTGCCAGGGGAACCTACTCCCCAGCAGCCTCCACCTTCTCGCTTTATTTGCATCTCATTAACATCTCAGTCCACATCCCACACTGCCGAGCAGGCGGCCCTGTGTAGGGCTGAGCTGGAAGGGGTGACCAGGGCCTCCTCGCACCTTGCCAGCCAGGGTGAGCCTGGCCTGCAGCTCCCTGCACTCCCGCTGCAAGGCAGCAATCTGCTTGTCCTTGGCCAGCAGGGCACTGGCTGTCTCACTGAGGTCCCGGGCTCGCTGGCGGGCCAGGGCCTTCCGGCACAACTCCAAGCTGGCCCCTGGACTGGGCATGGGAGCGCTCACCTGGCCAGAGGAGGGGCAAGGCCAACGGTCATCTGCGGGCTGGGGCAGTCCCCCAGTCCTCAGCTCCTCTCACAGGAGGGGTTAGGATGAGAACCTAGAAGTGTGGCCTCCTGCTTCTAGCCTGGGTCTGGATCTACCCTCAGGAGACCAACAGCCTCCCTTTGACCCAGTCCCTGCAATCCTCAAGCAGGAGTGAAAGGGTTAACTGCACATCCTAGTTTGGGCCCAAAGGATGTTGCGAACTGAGGGCTGCCACTGTGATGGGTTCTCATCCCTGCCCCCAGCAGATCTGCACCCAGAGATGAGCTCAGCGGGAGGCTGCAGCCAGCAGCAGCACGTGGTAATCCAGAATCCTGCTCCCTGCCTGCTCAGGAACTCCCTGCCCAGCCCTTCCCTCCCTCCTGGAGCTCCAGAAACCCTCAGCCTCCTAGCCTGGCTGGCATTTGCCCTTCCTACACCTCAGCCCCTGGGTTCCTGCTTTCCGAGGTGCTGAGAGTCCGTGACTCCCAAGCCTCACGCCCTCCGGCCCAGCCCTGGCGCCCCTCTTCCCTGGTGGCCCAGCCTCCATCCAGTGGCTTCCCAGCCTCACCACCCGCAGGTTGGTCTCCTGCAGCTTCCGGGCTCTCTCCTCCAGGCGCTTGGCAATGACCGCCAGCTCTGCGTTCTTCCGCTTCAGTCTCCGCACCTTCTCCTCCGTCTCGGGGAAGCTGCTCTTCCTCTGACGAGGGGTCAGCCAGAATTGGGGCATGTGGGGAGCACCCCCCCAGACCCAATCCTAAACAGCCTGGGCCTTGGGCTAGAGTCCTGGGCTCACAGTGGGGTCCTTGGCAACTCTAGGTAGGGGTTCACCCTCTCCGGGTCTTGGGGTCATGTCAGCTCCGTGGAGCTCCCACTTGGAGCGACGCTCATGGGATGAGAAGGCCGCCGAGGCAGAGGCCCGGGGTGTCTGAGTCTGCCTCCCCCCCGGCGCCAACCAGGACCCAGGACTCGCTTCCAAGCCTCACCAGCATCTGGTTCTCCTCCTTCAGGATGGCACAGCGCTGCTGCAGCTCCCCCACGGCCCTCAGCAGCTCCAGATTGGGCCTGTCCCCAAAGCCCGTTTTCAGCTTGCCCTGGCATGGGAGAGGACAGGGCACAGCGACTCAGGAACCCACCCTACCTGTGGAAACCAGAGCCCTCCACAGGGAAGCATTCCCCCTCCACAGTCCAAGGAGACATGGAGACGAGAAGGTTCTCCCACACAGTTCAGGCCTTCGGGGGGAGCACAGGAGACCCAGGAGAAGGGGTTGTTTAGTCCTGCCTGCCGACACTAGCGTCCCCCAACCCTGGGACCCTGTCTGCTAGTCCTCAATTCTTCCCATCCATGCCCATCTTCCCCTCTTGGGAAATGCCAGCTTGCGCTCCCATCCCCACTCCTCCAGGCTCCTCAGGGCCCCTGAGTCCCCCAAAGTCCTGGTCCCTCCATATTCTACAGGAGACTGCTCGTACCAACCCCAAAACTTGTCCTCCCTGGCTCAGCCCAGCACTGAGCCCCCTCCCCTGAACCTGCTTCCTCTGGACTCTGATTCCATCACACACCTCCACACGCCCCCAGTATCCTCCAGCCCCCAAGGACAGAGACTTGCAGAGGAGATGGACAGACATAGACAGACAGACAGTCAGAGAGAGACTCACAGATGGAGGGGGAAGGGGGAGGGCCAGAGGCAGACAGAGAAGGCAGAGTCAGAAGGACAAACAGATGGCAAAAAATGGAGCCAGTGAGATTCCTGACCAAAGAAGGGAGGACAGACAGTCACAGAGACGAACCCACAGACAGAGATGGGCCCGGAGAAGAGAGGTGGGCAGTGAAGTTACGTGTCATGCCCAGGCTGGAGGGCATGGTGAGATCCCCGACCTCACAGACCCCAACCGTCCACAGCGCCCTTACCTTAGAGAAAGCCTCCACCTCCTTGCCCTCCAGCCTCTGGCAGCTGAGTCCAGAGCTCAGTGCTCCCGGCCCGGGGCTGGGCAGCCCAGTTGCTGTTCTTTCAGGCTGGATGCCCCCCACAGACCCGGGGCTGCGGGCTCCCTCGGGCTCGGAGCTCTCCTCAGGCCTCAGTTCTCCAACACGCAGAGCTGCCGGAGTATCGGCAATGCTTGGGGATGTACCTCCAGGTTCGCCCCCCTGGCCTGGAGTCCAGCTCTGCCAGGCGGGCAGTGCCCACAGCTCCATGTTTCCGGGGTCCCCCGGCCGGGGAAGGGGTGTCAGTTGCTCCATGGTTCTGCCAAGGGTCCCCAGGACCCGGGCGGGGGGACATCACCCAGCCAGGTGGAGGGGCTGGTGAGAGTCACGCCAGGCCAGACCCTTTCCTCTCTGAGCTCCTGGCTTCACCGAAGCTCCATCCGAGGTTGACTGAGTTCTTCCTCACCCACAAAGGAGGCTGCAGGAGCCGGGGCTGCCAGAGCTGAGCTGGGGGTATGCGAGGTGTGTCTGTTCGTGGCTGTGTGTGCGCGCAAGTGTGTGGAGGAGCAAGGGTGTCCCCGTGGGGGTGGGGAGGATGTGCAGAGGCCACCGACAGCAGTGCCCGGGTGAGGGTGTGCGTGTGTCTCCAGGTCTGCCTGTGCCGGTCAGCGCTGCTGTGTGTGTTTGGAGGATGGGTTCCCCCACTTGTGCGTGCCAGGGGGTAGTGGTTCTGTGTGACACTGTCTGCGCCTGTTTCAGAGTTACCAGTTGTTTCTGTGTGTGCGGCTGTGTGTATCGCAGGGCTGTGGCAGTGTGTGATGCTGTCACTGGTTGTGTCTGAGTGTGTCAGTGCTGTGCTGCCGTATGCATCGCTGTCATGGGGTGTCTGTCAGCGGCTGTGAGTCTGACCATCCAGCACGATCCCTCAGTCTGGCTGGGGTCCACAGGAGCTGCTGGGCTGATCCCCAAAGGTCTGCTGTGGTCCTTTATCTCCTTCTCTCTCCGCTGCTGCCCGCCAGCTTGCTAGGCGGCTGGGCTGGTCTTAAGGAGGCCTGGGTCGGTGGGCTGCTTGCCTCATAGTCTCTGTCCCTGCTGGCCTCGGCTCTGGGGACTGGAAGGGTCCCCTACAGTCCCGGAGCCCCGAAATGGTGGGCGCCGAGGAGGGCTGAGCCTCAGAATAAGGGGGTGAGCAAGGGAGAGCCAGCTCTCCCCTCCCCCCTCCCCTCCTGCCCACCAATAGGAAGTCGGCTGCTGGTTTCCATGGTGATGGCGCTGGACTGGTGGGCTGGACCGGCAGGCAGTGTCGGGACAGAGGGAAGAGCAGGTTCCTTACAGGATCTCGGCCCAGTGCCCCCAACATGTGACCTCCCACCCCTCCCACACACACACCCACATTTTCCAGGGTACAGAGACAGGGGGCTGCAGACAGTTCTCCCCACATCAGTCCCAGCCCAAGCCAGGTAGAGACAGAGACAGGAGTTGGTATGACAGATAGACAAGGGATCCAGCCATGGAGAATGACAGGAATAGAAAAGATGGGATTTGAGATGAAACAAAGAGAGAGACAGGGAAATCAAGGTAATGACAACAAGAAGATAGAAGCGAAGAGACAGAGGTGGAAATAGGCTGAGGGAATTGCTTTCGCTTGCTCCTGGCAGGTTGCATTTTGGGGGCAACCTGGCCGTCTCGGGCCAGCAGGGAGGGCCACACGGCCTGTTGGGCTGGCTTAGCCCCAGACTGTCAGGAAGCTCATCTTCTGTCTAGCCTCGGACCTTTTTGCTATGGGAAAATGGCATTTGGGGACAAGGATGTGGAACTCCCAGACCCGTAAGCCAGCCTCTATATGGGGGAAGAGGCCTAGGTGGAGTCCCAGGAGACACGGATGTCGGCAAGGGCCTCAGAGAGGCCTCTGAACCTGAGACTCAAGCCAGTCTGGCCTAAGGTCGGGGGCCCCCTTGTGGTGCCCCTGCGGAATAGCACCAGCCGCGCTGAGCCACAGAGCCGCTGACGGTGGGCTCCACCCAGGCCAGAGCTGACGGAACTGTTGCGGGGCAGGGGGGCGGGGCATGAGAAATAGGTGACCTCCTCACTTCCCTAAATCAGTGCGCAGATCAATATGTGCACCACTGCACGATGTGTGTCGCTGATGTTTATGTCAGGGTGCATGTGTGTCTACAGTCCACATATACAGGATAGACATAAATGTGTCTCTATATATGTGGGGGGACACTTACTTTATATACATACACAGATATATGTGTGTATGCATGTATGCTATTATATGTCTATGGTCTCACTGGGTATATAGGTATGCATGTTTCTGTGTATGTGCCACTGTGTATATATCTCCTTGCCACAGTGTCATGCGCTGGGATGTATATGTGAGGCTATGATTGTGTGAGTGTATAAATTACAACACGTATGTCATGATAAATGTATATGGATGACATTACACAGTATATAATGGCACACTCTCATACAGGCATGAGAATATGTAATGACATACATGACATGGTTTTATTGATATCTATATATCTAGATATATATATAACCATGCCTCTATTGTATATTTATCATG